ACCAGGGCTTGGGGGCTGTCTCGGGGGGCTGTTTGTGTGGCAGAGGTGTATGGAGGGGATGAAGTCTGTGCAAGACGCTTTCTCGGGGAATCCATGTTCTGCCTTGAAGCACCAGTCTGGCTGTGCATGCCACTAGGAGGTTTGGTTAGTGATCCACCGACTCATTCTTCATTCACTTAATGGTGTGCATTTCCCCCTATTTACCATTGCTTTTGTTCTTGTGTTGTGACACAAAACAGTTACGGTGTCTTGGTGTGCCTGCAGTCATGAGTTCAAGCTCTGCCTCCGGATTTGTTCTCTAGGCTGCTCCCAAGTGAAATGAGCTGTAAATGGATACCAAGCCATTTAGTGTCGGTAATCAGATAGCTGGATATGACTTTTGCCACATCGCTCCCATGTGTGCTGTTGGCTACACAAACTGGTATGCCTTAAGCACGCTAGTCCAAAGGGCTACTAAGCTTGGAAAATCGTTGACTTGTTGCCAAGTCATTCCCATCCCTCCTTCCTGTAGACTTCCGAACCTAAAAGTTCAAGATTTGCTGTGGCTGCTAACTGGAACAGTTTACACTGAGGGCTCTTCTGCACAGTCTTGCTGGACTGGCTGTGATCATCTCTATCTGCTCCATCAGGACTCCCTGTGGCCTCTCCACTCACATGAATACAAAGCAGATATTTAATCGGGCTGTATATAATATCTTGCTCAGTGTCTGAGTTTGAAGCCTTCAGCTCTGCACTGGCTGCGGTGGTGATGCTGATCATTGTTTGATAAGCCTGTTCTATCTCTGCAGTGCTCTGATACAAGCCAATATGGCTGGTCAAATATACTGGTTGAGAGCAGCATGTCTCAAGTGGGGAAGTATAGCGTAGGACTGGGGTTGATTTGGGTTCTGCTCCTTGCCGTGCCCCTGTGAGTAAGCCACTTGTCCCTCTGTGCCTCCGCCTCCACATCTGTACAGTGAGGCTCTTTGACTTGGTTTGCAAAGCGCTTTTCAGTCCACTACAGTGTTCTCTGTACCTATCCCAGAGGATATGACTGCTATAGCTCTTGGGAGACTTGGTCTGTTAGTTCAAGCCACAGAGGCTCACATGTCTCTCTTGAGATCCTGGGTTCAATTACTTGTGATAACCGAGGTGATAGCCATGACCCTGAGCTCCGTCCGTGTACAGATGTGCAAAATTTTACTGTATACATTTCTCCTGTGAACCTGTTGCTTGTAGCACACCACACACACTGGAAGCTGTAACTCAGTACACTTCAGATTTCACTGCGTGGTAACCGAGAAGCTGTGCTGATCTTGGCTGCCTTCCCAGGTGTCATTAAATTAGGGTGGCTTCCAGCTCAAAGGAGCAAATTGTCTAAAGTCAACACGCTGGCCTCGGTTGAGCCTGAGACAGTGGCAGGCGTGTTGCACCCTCACCTGTTGAGAGATAAGGAATGTGTTGTAATAATTAGTCAAGTCTGGAAAGGAGGACATCAGCGTGGCAAGTTAAAGGCTGTAGGATTCTCTACGGCTCCAAAATCACTGTGGCTAGAAGTGATATAGGAACACAAGTAGGTGAGCTTGTAGCTGTTCAAGTCCTGCTGTCTCCCAGCGGAAGCTATTGTCCAGGACAGCATAAGGGTGTGTGGTTGCAAGGAAATACATAGCTGCTTCTCAGATCCTGCCCTGGCATGGTTTCCACTTCGGAAAGTAATCTGTTTTTCTGATCATCAAGTCTTCCTAGCATCCCAGCCAGCTTTACACTACAACTCTGTTGCCACAGCCCCTCCCCTCCCCTGCCTTGCTGAGCTGCTGGCAGAGTTTGCTCAGGCCTGTCTTTGTGCCCTTCACAATGGGGGAGCCCACATGGCCAGTTCATGGTAGAGGGGACTGCAGCGTGTGACTAATGTGTGGATCCATTCCTGCCCTGGCTCACAATGGGGCCTTTCTTCTCCCCTTGCTGGGCTGCCAAGCAGAATTAGAATTAGCACGGAGGAACGTGTGAAATTAGCCCCTGGCTTAATTTGGCAGAAAATCACCAACCTTTCTGAATCCTGCTGCCATCTCGTGTGAGCTGCAGCCCGCCGCTGGATCTGACTGCGTGCGGAAGGGACCTTCTGCAAAGACAGCCATTCCAGCGAGACGCTGGCCATGAAAATTCCCCCTCTGGTTCTGGTCCCAGTCTAAATGAGCTGCTACTGCAGGTTGCTGGCCTGTTTCCCCAAACCCAGGGAAAACTGATCCTGCAGCCAAGTCTGGTTCATGCCCTTCCCCCAGCTTTTATTATTCCAGTGCAGAACCCGCAGGCTTGCACAAAAGCCAGCTGTTTTGGCAAAAGCAAATTGCAAAGGTCTTTTCCCATCTCTGTCCCCTGCTCCTGGGTCTCTAGCAGCCTTCAACTGAGTTTTTTCAGCCCTTTGTAAGCATCACCTGACTTCTTTCCAACTAGCATCTCCCAAGACCAAATACTTGTTCTTAAAGGGGCTCTGCCTCCAGAAAGAGCTGCCCTGGTGCCTGGCCCCTAGAAGAACAGAGCACCACGTTAAAACAATTGTGTTGGGGCAGTAGCATAAATAGAGGTGGGCAGTTATCCCTGGGCATTGGCTGATCCCTGGGGCAATGGAGGCCCCATGGGAGTCTGCCACCACTGCGGCAGCAGCAGCTGGGTGCAGGGACACTGCTTCACTGGGAGTGTGCAGACCACTATTGCAGCCACCACCGAATTCTCTGTTCCCATTGCTGCTAGCAAAAAGAATTGGCCGTGGCACTAAGTGGTGGTGGGGGCGGGGGGCACAAACCCACTAGATTTAGAAAATGCAGGCCCGTGGTGCAGACCTTGGTAGTTACATTTCTGTGCTGAGGAGCCTGTTTGCAGTGTTACTCCTGACATGGGGATCTGAACCAGAGCTTTCTCCAGCTGGATAGACGGAATTGGATCCTGTTCCTGAAATACACTGTGGCTTTGGACTCCCCCAGGGCTGACTCACTATTTAATAACCTAATTAAACCAGTCTTCTCGTATATATGAGAAACATGTTTGTATCCTGGAACAGCTCCCTCAATATATTACTGTAATTTTTGCTGCAAAGATGGGACTAGTCAGACTGAAGCCATCCAGAGCTTTGGAGTGACCTTCTTCCTAATCTTGCCATCTGAATGGAACATCTTGCAACCTTGTGAGTGAATGGAGCTGCCTAAACTAGCTTCATCGAGTCCTCATACAGATTTCCATTTTTGGGAATTGGGCATTAAATGTCCCTGTCCCTGCATGGGCTGCCCCGAGTTTGCGTGCTGAGTACGTTGTTCGCGATTGCTGACGGGAAGCAGTGGGCTTTTCCATAGGAGTGGTGTGTTTCCCCTGTGAGTAAGGAAAACTTCCCCGAGATTTCCAGCAGCTGAATTCTGTCTGGCTGCCTTTTGTTTGCTTCCTCTTTAATGCACTAAAATCTCCATGACCAGTATTGCAGTTTCTGCTGTTTTTGCTGATGGGAAAATTGTCAGGAGCTCCCCATCACCTCCTCCATAAATTACCATCCTCTTTGTTCCTCCTGGTCTGTCCTGATACTTCTGCCAAGAGAGGCCTTGGTACTTCTAGCTCAGCCAGGTGCTTACAGATTTTGCCCCAGAAGTCTTTGCACTGCTCCTGGGTGGCCTTACTGGAATTGTTTTCATCCATTGCATGCAGACCTCGGGACCATCAGAGATTTGAAGACACCAGGCTGCAAGCAGCTGAGATGGAAACAGGGAAGTCTCTTGGGGGAAGGAACTGAGAGAGGAGATCAGCAGCTGTTGTCAGCCAAAAGGAGGGAAGAAAGAGAGCTTGGACGGATCTCTCGGTAGCAGGGTTAGGACTTAGGTTACACGCTGGGATGCTGTCCAAGGAAAGTGCTTGGCTCTGAGAAGCGAAGGGTTTTTGAACCCGAAAGCTTGCTTAATAAATATTCTCCAACTATTTGGGTTGGTCTAATAAAAGATATCAAATTCACCCAAGGAACCTTGTCTGCCTATGTCCTTAGACCAACACGGCTCCAACCTAAACCCCTGGCTCTAGAGACTAGAATTTAAAGAGAGCGCCACTGAAATAAGTTAAAATCCTTTACTGTTGTCAAGTCTCGCCTTTTGTTTCTAATGATTTTGTTTCCTGTTCCTGCCCACTCTGGTTCTGTTGGTTTCTGATTTTCCCAGTGCTGTAGGGGACTTTTTAAATCTCTTAAACTCCATATTTTTTTGGTTTTTCTTTTTTAAATGCTTCAAGTGTCAAAGCATATGATGATTAAAGATATTCACACCCAGCAAGATTCTTGACTTGAGCTTCCAAGGCGAGCTGTGATGCTGAACTTGTCATAGATGTGTTGTCATATGACAGGTGCCTGGGGTAGTGGGAACATCAGGGCAGAGTTAAGGAGGTTGTTTAGGAGGTGGCTTTAACTTTGCCACTAATGCATTAAAACGATAAATGTAGAGCTCAGTTTAACAACACTGCCTTACAATCCGTGGTATATACCAATACTACAGGTTTCTGTCTTTTTCTCTAAGTTACAGGTATGTACTTGCAACCTCAGGTCATCTATTTAATGCAAGTTTCTCTGGGGATGGATGTCCCATCCTGGTAAATAGATAGAAGGAACTATTACTTCCATGCCACTTCTCTGCCCTCTCTCTGCTTTCTGCAGTCTGTTTTAGAGGGCCAGTCACCATAATATTCAGATGCAGAGTGTTCCTGAAACTCTCCTGGTCCCACTTCCATTGAAATCATTGGGAATTGGCTCAGGGTCTGTAAATGAGAGTTAAAAGGAGTCAGCACATACAATGCTGGAAAGGAGTACTGTGGTTTGATGAACCATGACCGGCCATTTTATTACCTGTTTGTCCATATTCCCCTGTTTTGTTTGGCCAAGATCCTCACCCATTTGCAGGTATTTATCATCAAAATAACCCTTCTTTTAAGTAGAGAGATGTTGGTTTTTAGCAGACACTTTGGGGCTTGTAGTCTGATTGTCTCTGATCTCTTTTCCACAGGTTTACCAAAAACCTCTCTCCAGACAAAATCAACCTGAGCACACTGAAAGGTCAGGGGCAGCTGACTAACTTGGAACTGGATGAAGAGGTGCTGCAGAATGTGTTGGAGCTGCCCACCTGGCTTGCTATCACACGAGTCTATTGCAACAAGGCTTCCATTCGGGTAAGTGGACATGCTGTACTAATGGCATCTTTCAGACGCAATCAAGTCCACTTAGTGCCAATCACCATTTGATATAATTTGGGGCTTTCTAGTAAAAGATCTTGGTGAAATGAAATTCTGGCAGGCCAAGCATTTTCTGCTTGTGGTACCCATGACACACGCTCTTTTCTTAATGGTGAAGAAATGAAGTCCTCATTCCAGATTCCCCTTGTGCATGCCAGCCTCTGGACCGGATAGCAATGTAAATACGAGGCGTAATTATTTGTGGAGTGCCATTCACTGAAAATCTACTTATGCCATAGGGTCCATGCAGTAACTTATAGTTAAGGATCACATTTTCAGTAATCAGGACTTCAGGAGTACCATACCAATTGGGTAAAATGGCATGAACAGTAAGTTGCCAGGCACCTTGCCAGCCTTAGCATCCACAGTTACCCCACTTACTTGGATAACCACAATAACAGCATATGCGATTGCAACTGTCCTTTTGTGCACGCAGCCGGGGCTCTGCATAGGGAAAACTTTGTTCCTGGTGCTTTTTGGTGCAGGAAATCGGCTTCTTTCAGTTGATATTTGACAAGAGATTGTGCAACCTCAACACATGCCAGGCACTGAATTAAGGCAAAAGTGTTTTAGCTTTCAGAAACACCTCTCTACGAACGTGTGGTTCTTCTTTGCCAAGTGATTGTTAAACCAGGCTGCTCTTACTCACTCGATCTGCTCCTTGTGTGTATGCAGAATCAGATCTGCTTAATTTAGAAACAAGTGTTAGCTCTTACCCCCCATCTCAAACTCCAGAGCAACTGTAGCTCAGAGGGTGTAAAACGGGTTATGTTTGGGTTTGTGCACAGCCTACAAAATTACTAACTTGATTCCAGATTGAACTGCAAAATGATTGTGAATTTATTACACATAGCAGGGTTGTTCATGCATAAGAGAAATGAAAATTTGGTTTGCAGAACATCTATTACTGGTAATGATACATGAGATCTAAAAGTTAAATATGATTTACAGGGCTGGCAGCTGGAATCTCTCTTCAGTTGTCTATAGGAGTCCATTTGATCCAGAGTCAGTGAGATGCCATGGATGTGGATTGTCACAGAATAGTGAATTAACCTCGGGTGGGCTTAACTCTCTCCTTTAATTGCTCAAACCTTCCAGTACTGAATCATTTTTTAAACCTTAGCTTTGTTTTCACAGATCCAGTGGACAAAACTGAAGACACACCCAATCTGCCTGGTAATGTTCTTGCTTTCTACCTCTTCCTTGGTTGTTTGCTGTAACTTCTATGCAAGAGACTGTTCTTACAAAGGACACTTGGTTCTTACTGCTAGGACTAGGGGTGTTTCAAGAGGTTTGTGATGTAACATTTTAGAAATTAGTCAAATTCAGACGCTTCTCTTAGGTCACATGATACGTGAATGGTTTTTACCGCGCAGGCCTTGTATAAGAATCTTGTCTCTAGTGCAGAAAGCTGGACAGACAGGTGATAGCCCCTTCTGAAGCTGCAGAGCTCTTCTATGTTACCTGCTTAGTGGTCTTGAGAGGGAATATCTTTCCTTCGAGGACATGGTGAGATTTACCTTGGTGATATTTCCACTGGCCTGTTTGTGCTAACCTTGCTCTGAAAATTATTATGAAACTAGATGTTGCTCCAAGAATTGCAAAGTGTTTTGCCAGCTGTGGGCAATTGCAGTGAAATGCAGCAATCATCTAGGTCACAAAACTATGTGGATACTCGCACTTACAAGTCAAAGGGGTCCGCACCTCCATTCAAAATTTGGGGGGGGGGGAGTCCATAAATGAAAAAAGGTTGAAAACCACTGAGCTAGGTGTGTAAGAGAAATGGAAAGGATGGGATCCTTTAGTCAAAACACTGGGAAAACTTCCCCCCGTCTCCCTCCCTGCAACTTGTATGAAAATTGTCCATTAAATTTCAGGGGCCATGCAGAGCAGAGGCTTGTTATTTAAGGTCTTATCTGAAATGCCTACAAACACAGTGAACTCCTTGGGAATAAGGAAAAAATGGAGTCTACCTTATTGGGATGGTCTTGTTTTTGCTTCCTACCTCTGACCCTAGCAGTTCCAGGAAGCCTCTAGGTGTTCCAAACTTCAGGCCAAAATATTCATGCTAAAGCTTAATAGGCTTGTGTCTCCTCTGTTTCTTGTTTACAGTACTTGGATAAGGTGGAAGTGGAGATGCGAACATGTGAAGAGCCTCGGCCACCCAATGGACAGTCTCCTATTGCTCTTGCTGCAGGTCAGAGGTTGGTATTCCACGACCCTATGGTTAGTCCTTAGCGTAGTGATGTTTGTTTGGTAGACGTATGGTTTCTCCAGATGAACAGTGGAGGAACCTTGAATGTAAATGAAGAACCATCTTTTTTCCACCTTCTGAGTTGGGAGGAGGGTTCCTTAGGGATCTCTGCAGATGGCTGGATTTGACCTAGACTAGATCCTTAAGAATCCCCAGCCATGTTCCTTGGAGGTGTTGCATTGCACTTCTTTGCCTTTTGGTTTGGAAACCAGTCATTAGGGCTTTTTGCAAGCCATCATTTTTGTCGTTTTCTAGGCGAGGTCCCTGTTTCCCCCCTTTGTGAATACCTGCACTACTTCTCTCCTCTTGGGGTAGAGATCCTGAATCTTCTCATTTCCAAGGCCTCTGACTAATCCCTTTCATGACCCACGCCTCTGTTCTGCTTCATCCCTTCATCTGTGCTCCACTGTATTCCCAGCACCTGCCCAGCAGTCTCTTCTGTCCACTCCTGACTTCTGTCCACTTCCTTTTTACATTCCTAGCCTAATTGAGTGAGAAGTAACGTGCTTGCCAGTTCCATGGCTCTCCTTCCCAGAAATCTTCTGAAGACCCAACCATTCCTTGGGGCTCTGGTTACAAGGAGTGTCTTGAGGCTTGTTCAGTCTGTACTGGGCTTCCATCACTTTCCATGTTCCTGGCTACCATGACAGGACAGTTGTCTCCTCTGGGCACTTTTGTACGTGTCACTGCACTAGGGCTGAAGCTTATTGTTCCAGGTTGGGTATGCTGACCTAGAACGCAGAAAATGGCCCTTCTAGAACTAGCCTAGCTATGTAGAGCCAGGTGGCAATAGTCTGAGTATCCTTTTTTGGACCTTCTTTCTGACATATATGCGCCATCCACTGGTCAGCCTGGTGGGGGACTTCTGTTGTAGCAAATGATGATTTTGAGGATCCTTTCCTTTGCAGTGAATATGGCTTTGCTGAAAAGGTGGTGGAGGGGATGTTTATTGTCGTCAATTCCATCACTATCAAGATTCACTCCAAGGCCTTTCACGCCTCTTTTGAACTATGGCAGCTCCAAGGATACAGCGTCAACCCCAGTTGGCAGCAGAGTGACCTGCGGCTCACCCGCATCACTGACCCTCATAGAGGAGAGGTAAGAGTCTTTTTGCACTGGCAGCCACAGCATGCATTTTGGGAGAGTGGAGAATTGGGGAGATCATTTCTGAGGTCTCCAAAGGGTCTGACAGAAAGGAGCACTTACTTCTGAATTCTCAGAAGTGGTGGTGTATGAAGAAGTGTTAATAGGGAGTCCCAGTGAAACCTATACCGTTGCGTTCACATCAGCGCCTGCTGGGGCTGGAGGAGCTGAGCCAGTTCTTTTACCCCATCTCCACAGAGGTGCTCGTTTCTGGGGCAAAGAAATGAGAGAAGCTCGCAGCAGCCTTGCAAAACCATTAATCCTTGCTGTGGTTGCTTTTGGAGCAGGACTGTGCTCCTCTGTTCCTGGAATTTCTCTTCCCCTCATCCCCCGCCAATTCCACATACGTTAAAATAACTTTTCTAGCTTGTGCACTGCCATAGGTATTGTGTAAGTGATGCCTGTTGGGGGGGGGCCCAACTCAGCATTGCTGCTGCTGAGTGCTGGCTCCGGCCAGGCTGTAGTCCGGCGCTTGTGCCCCACCACTGGTGCAGAAATCTAGGGAGGGGTACATGCTCCTTCAGTGCATTGCCAGTGTGTATGCACTGCTATTACATACAGCTATCTTCAGAGCGTTGAAGCTGGTGGAATCATTAGCACTCTTCTCTTTGCCTCCACATTTCCCTCTCTTTCTTTGGGTAGGTCTTAACGTTTAAAGAGCTCACCTGGCAGACGCTTAGGATAGAGGCTGATGCCACTGACAATGGTGATCAAGATCCTATTACCACTCCTCTGAGACTCATTACCAATCAGGGCAGGATCCAGATATCTCTCAAGAGAAGGGTGAGTATCTACCTCCACCCACAGCAGACACATCTTCATGGGAAGATCTCAACTGACTCTCTCTCTCTCAGGAATAATCTCCATACTGAAGTGAAAGGCAGAACTAAGAAGAGATCTATAAAGACACCGTTATTGCATTGTGCAGTGATAAGCATTCCCTCCGGCACTCCTTGGGGGTTTTTTTCCTTCCGCCCACAAACGCAGAGCCCTTGATGTAATATCACCCTGTGGTTTGTGCAAGAGGAACACGCTCAGAACTGCATGCAGCTGGGCAGAGAGTGAAGTATTTCGTTGTCATGCTCAAGTCAGAGTACACTTTATCATCTTTGTAACTGTGTGCTTAAAACACTGGTAGGTTTAGTTGTACTTGAAAAAGGAGCAGGGAGAGGTGGTAAAATTCCACTTTTTCCTGCAGTACAGTTGGGCATTTGTTTCCTTGGGAGGAGATTAGATTTGAGTGACTGGGTGCTTGGATGACATGCTCCAGGTGCCTGCCAGTCAAATAAGTGAACCCTTCCCACCCTATTTTCTCTCAGGATTTCTGGTATCACATGCTTTAACAGTGCTACTGTCTTTGCTTACCATGCAAAAGAAATGCAACTGGTTAAAATTACTGAACTCCGTGGTTTGCTTTTCTGTTGGATCAGACAAAGGATTGCAATGTGGTGGCCTCTAAGCTCATGTTCCTCCTTGATGACTTGCTCTGGGTGCTGACAGACTCTCAGCTGAAAGCAATGATGAAGTATGCAGAGTCCCTGAGTGAAGCCATGGAGAAGTCTGCCCAGCAGAGGAAGAGCATGGCTCCAGAACCTCTCCAGGTAAGCAGTAATAAATGTGGGTGTCACAGAATAGGGAGAAAAAGCTGTGCGGACCCTCTGTGTGAAAATGCAGATTGCTCCTTGCTGAGAAATGGTAGGAAAGTGTAACCTGTGTTGCTTCCTGTGGATAGCAAATTGTGTGAATTTCTAAGAAGAGCCATCACTTCTGGAGGAGGGTGAAGGGGTGAGCGTTGAGTACACCTATAGGGATTTGGCTTGGTGGAAATGGGCAATAAGTGTACTCTGGAAATATTTTCCACTTGGTAATTTCAGTCCACCAGTTTCTGTTGCAGAATAAAGTTTTAGGGGCTCTAGTATTATAAAAATGATCATACAATGGGATGAGGATGAGTCAGGGTGCTCAGCAGAGAATATTACCATCCTGTTTCTCTCAGTATTCTAGTAAGAGGCTCACAAGGCTTGCAGATGTTCATATTGTTCCTTTGTTTTATACAGAATGTATTGGTACTTTAGAGAATTTAAACAGCTGCTTCTCCAGTCACTAACCTTGGAGCATCCTACCCTAACCCTTGCCATTTTTTTATTTTGTTTTTGTTCACAAAATGCTGTGCCAAGTTATGTACCAATAATTGCAGCAGAGAGCAAATGAAATTAAGGGGTACAAGGCAAGGGATGAAAGACATTTTCAGCAGAGACTTGCAACACGATGGAGAGCGTGAGGTGAGGAGACAGAATTGTCTCCAGGTGGCGGGAACTGCAGAGTCTTAATCTGATGCCTGGTTTGCTGGGTCTGCTGCCTCTGCTGATTTACAAGTTGGTGAACTATGACACCTAGCTGTGCATGGTCTTTGTTAAAATGGGATCTGAAGATTGGGCTGATAATCTCAAAATCTAATTCTCTCTGGTTTGGTTCTTCCCTTATGTCCTGTGACAAAACATTGGCCAAGGTCTCTTGTTTGGGAGCATTGGGTAAGCTTTTCCAGTATGGGGTGCAACATAGTAGGATGCTTCCATTGCATCATGATTTAATTCCTTTCTTTCCCTTGGTGACATTCTAGTCATAGCAGAGCCTTTTTCTCTGTGTGCTAGATTACACCACCTGCTCCTGCTGCCCAGCAGTCATGGTCCCAGCCATTTGGAGGTAGCCCAAATGCAAGCAGCATTGGCCAATACTTTGAGAAATATGACATGAAAGAGTCGTCCTACCACCTGCTCATCTCTCGCCTAGACCTGCACATCTGTGATGACAGCCACACCCGGGACTCAGGTACCCAACTGAAAGCAGCACTAAGGAGAACTTGGACGAGGAAGAGATTTGTGGGGGACCTATCTTTCAGGCACATACATGTAACACTGCACTTCTCTGCTTCATAGTAATACTTTGCAAGGCAGGGGTCAGTAGCTCAGCAGGCTGCCATAGAACAAAGGTCTATATATTGAGCCAAGTGTTTTGAGAGCTTTCCTGACTCTGTGGGGTAGTTTAATCTAGGGAGGGAGAGAAATCCCAGTGCTGGGGAATTGAATGCTGGCTTGGACAAAGGCACTGTCCAGGAATAGTTCAGTACTGCCCAGAGTGGATAAATTTGGTTTGGTCTCATAAGCTATCCTGTGCAGTACTGTAGCAAGGGTGGTGCCCCTGGTGCACTGCCATCGGGCACTTGCACATGGCGGGTGCCAAATTAAATGGAAGTAACTTGATTTTATGCTGGGTGCTCAGGACCACACACACAGAAAAGAGCTTGATATATCTGGGCAACTTTATATAAGGAAAATGCAATCACTTTCATTAGAATTTGGATCAGCTGCCAAAGTTTTCATTTTTTTAGGATATAAAGGCTGTGGGATCTTTGACCAAGACCTGACCCTTCCTCTTCTACAATTCCTCTACTGCTTTTAGTATAGCATGTCCTATTCCTAAACCAGGGCTCTGTGTACACTGGTGATCTGTGCAGCATTGCTCTGACTGCCCCTGGGCTGGGACTTGGACTACACAGTTGATGCCACTTTCTTTATTATGTCTTCTTGCAGACACCTCAAACCATAGAGTGCTGGGAGGCGCAATGCAGCTGACCTTCAGGAGGATGGCATTTGACTATTACCCCTTCCACTGGGCAGGTAAGCTCACAAAGGGGGAGAGTTCATGAAGAGAAGGGGCTGCTACAAGAATCCAGGGTGCAGTAGCAGGTAGTACAGTGAGGAAGGCTTCTCAAAGGCCTTGTGACTTGATTTCACCATTCTGCGGGTGAGTGGCATCCTTACCCTTGGGAGGAAAAGTAGCCAGGGGGTGAGGAAAGAAGGCCTGAAGTTACTGTGAGGTAAATCTTTGGGTTTCCTGACTTCCCCACTGCCTAAGATCTCTGCTTCTTGCATGTGCTAGGTCAGCTTGAAAGGCCTCAGCATATAGGGGAAAGTCTAGGAAGAATATAGATCAGCAGGCTGTTGTAAATCAGGAGCCTTCTGAGCTGAAAATGTTGCCCTTAAAAAGGAGAAACAATACATTTCTGGGCCTGTATCTGGGGCCCTAGCTGGCATGGGCAGGTCTGCTATGAGGAATCCTGAATTTGTTTAATAAGGCGTCAGCTATGCGTGTGCCAGAGTGCTGGTCCCAAGGGGAGGAAGTCATTTTCCAGATGCAGCTGTGAATGACAGGGATGCGGGGGGTCAAGTGTAGGTCCTCACTAACCTCCTCTGAAAGGCAGCATGTCTGCTTGTTGTGCAGGAGACACCTGCAAGCATTGGGTGAGGTACTGTGAGGCGATGGAGGCTCGGGGACAGTGGGCGAAGAAGCTTGTGAACGATTTTCAAAGCAAGATGGAGAAGCAGTGTGAAGAAATGGACCCCGTATCTGCAAAGATTCCACTGTCGCCCTTCAAAAAGAAACCAGGTAGCATTGCTTGATTAAACTTCTTGTGAAGCAGGTGAGGGTGGTTATTTCTACTCCATTGGATGGAGACACCCCCCTCTCTCTTCCCCCCCACCTCAGCTACTTATACAATGCAGTAATGAGTTGCCAGCAAAAAAAAAACCCCAAACTGTGGCACATAAACAATTGGAAATATAAAACCCACAAAATATTAAGACACATGGCATTAGGACAGACTATAGGAAATGGATAGATAGACTGTAGGAGTGATTTCCTTAGCTAGTTCAGTAAAACATTCCCAGTTTTATTGCTGGTATGCAGGTGAAATGCTGCATGTGCCTCAGATCCTAGGAGCTGTGCTGCAGAGTTCACATTCATCTTGCCACAACAGACATTGCTCTTTAACTGTGTTCTTTCTTCACAGGGCACTAATCCCTTATGACCTAGTCTGGCCCATTTATTTTTAATTTGGGTCTGTTATTCCTATTGGATAAACACATTTGGGCTTCCTGAAGGTCTCTCTCGGGTATGGTGTTTAACAGTTCTCATTCGTTGAGTAGGACGTGAGTGAAATTCACCTGAGACTGATTACAATGCTTTTCTCCCCGCAGACCTGTCCAGTCCTCACAAAAGTTCTCCAGAGAAAGGCCATCCTCAGGCCCGGGCTCCTCCCCTGAGCTTACCCCAGCTTCGGCGCCCTGCCTGGAACCGGCTTCGATCCAGCTGTGTGGTAGTCCGAGTGGATGACCTGGACATCCATCAGGTGGGGATTCAGACAGCAGGCAGGGAGGAGTGCTCATCTGTTGTTCAAACTGTCTTATTTTTGCAATGAAGTCCTTAGCCTGCTATGATGTTAAACAAGAAATCGTGAAAAACCTAGAGTAGGCAGAGCCAAGAAGGGTGCCAGAGCTTTTATTGGCAGGGACCCCGGTACACCTTTCAGACACTTTTCACTTTTTTTTTTAACCAAACCCAGGCACAAACAGAGTGCCAAATGGCTGAGTTTCTGCTGAAGCTAAACTTGCAAAGTCAAGTGCTCTTTCCACCTGGACTTTCCTCAGATACCAGCAAAGCTTGGAGCAGGTGATACTGCCTGTAGCTGAGATGCATGTAAGGACGGGAGAGGGTTTGATGATGGTCTTTCTTTCACGCCTTCTGACTTAAAAAGTAGACATTGCTTGAGGAGATGAGTCCCAAGGACCTTCAGAATTTCCCTCGTTAGCCTTGCAGAGCTACAAGAAAATGCAGAAGAGTGTTTTGTGTTGTATCCTCAGCAGAGTTGTGAGCTAGATTCTGAATGCCACAGTTGTTGGTAGTAATAGGAGGCATAAATATTCAAGGTCCCAGCTGGATTTTCAGAACTCAGATTGAAGTTGTGAGGGGTGGTACTAGTATTTGGAAGACAAGTTTCACTTGTAAACTGCTAACATTTGATCTGGGAATGAATCCAAGAGAATAAATATGGGAGCCTACACTGCTATGTGAATAGCCACTTATCAAACCAGAGTGTAGTGACTTGCCCTCTTTTTTTTTTTCAGGTTTCTACTGCTGGGCAGCGTAGTAAGAAGCCTTCCTCCTTGCTCTCCTGCAGCAGGAAATCCCTGAACCTTCCCAAAGAGGTCTCTGCGATCCACATTGAGTTCACAGAGTACTACTTCTCAGACAATCAGGAATTCCCAGGTGATTCATCAAGAGTAGCACCTCACTGGGTAAACTTCTTAGGGAATCAGTCCAGTTTTAATCCTTTTGATGTGTTCCTCCATGTCTCAGGTTTTGTTCAGTGTCCTGATGTTCCTCTTTATTTTGCTTACTGTTGGGATCCTTAGGTAAATAGACAGGAGGTGGCAGGGTTGAAATTGGGTGTGTAACAATAGCGTGGCTATGGGGTCATTGAAAAATGTTACCGCAGTGTCTGTCCAAGTTCGATGGTTCTGGTTGGGTCTCTTACATTGAACTAGGAGTCTAGTCTGGATTCTGTTCCTGACTCTGAACCTGACTCACTTTGTGAATTTGGGTGAGTCCCTTCACCCCCTGCTTCAGTTTATCCTGATGAGATGGGGTCCTGGGCATCTTAATTGGTTAATATTCTTAGAGTTCATTGGCTGTAAAGCAATCCTATCAGCGTGCAGTATTACAGTTCACATTTTGTATATGATCTTGTCTTCTTTCCCGTTTATGTTCAGTGCAAGATGAATATGGAGTTCTTTTTTTCAAAAGGCTTCAGCTAGCTTTTTTGGGGTTTGAGAAATGTCAAATTTACCATTACCCTGTCCTGTTGTCCTGCAGTTCCATGCCCCAACCTGTATGTGCAGCTGAATGGCCTGATGTTTACCCTGGATACAGTGAGCATGCTCTGGGTGAATTTCTTCTGCCTGGATCTTTATCGCAGCCTGGAGCAATTCAAAGCCATCTACAAGCTGGAGACCTCTGGCAAGCAGGATGAGCACGTTGATGTTCGACTAGATGGCTTTGGGCTGAAGGTACTGTTCATGGTTTTTACTGCCCTTGCTTGGAAATATGGAACCAGAGAGTGGTGGCAGCTCAGAATGAGGAGGAAGAACATTTCCCAACCCCTTGTTTCTAGGCTGGCTCCTTCAGGTGTTAATTCCTTTTTGTGATTTCTGGATAGTATAACGTGGCATAGAGTCTGGAATAGGCAAAACAGTTCATGTCTGTGAACCCAGGAAGAGAAGAAATTGATACTTCCAGGTTATAGTTGCATGTGGAACCATTGTCCTTTAAGTTTATCAGTTCAAAGCCAGCTAAACTTTGCTGCTGTCGGGTTACTGTCTGATGGCTGTGTGGCCTGTTCGAAGTGAATTGGTGGATTTTACACCAACTCCCAGCAGACAGATATCCATCCAGAGCACTGAAATCTGATTGCATTGGGAGCTGGCTAGCCCAGTTTTCGGTTGTCTCGCTGGGGATGCTTGAGTTGTAAATGCGAGGGCGAGTCCTTGCAGAGGGGCGCGAGGCCTGAGGATGGGTGTAGAATGGGATAAGCTTGTGCTGCTTCCTGAGATGTGGATTGAAAATGACCTCAGTCCCTGGCACTTGCCAGGCTGCACCTGGTCACCTTTTAAAAAAAAAAAAAAATAAACCCAGTTATTTCACTTGAAAGAAGGTGAGGTAATATTAATAGCCAGCTACCCCTGTCTTGAGCATGGTGGAAATGTGTAACTTGCCTAACTGCCTTCTCTATTTATTCCCCCTCACTGAAGCTAAACGTCCCGGTGGAGAAGAAAGTCACTGACCACCGGGACCGCCCGCAGACCCTCTCAGTCCGCATGTCCGAGATGACTGCCACCAACACACGCCATGCTCCACACTGCAGCTGCCTTGCCCTCCAGAACCTCTTCCGCAGATTTGCCAACTCTGAGTTCTTTCACTCTACCTACACCCACTTTCCAAAGTCTCGGGACAGCTTCAGCATCCTCCACACCCTCTTCTTAAGGCATGCATACCAGGTGGATGCCAGAGCCGAAAATCACACGGGTTTTCCCCTGGTGACACAGAGGACCACTGCTTCTGACGACCTGTGGTCTATTAATTTCACCCAGATTTCCTTGGACTTTGAGGGGGCTGAGAGTTCAAAGGGCAGAGCTGTGAACTTCATTGATCCTTTCCCCCTCTCAGTTTGGGTTTGCTGTCCCAAGAAATGGCAGCAGGCTCAAGCCTGGAAGCAACAGGCCTCTGCTGCTTTGGAGGTGAAAATCAAGCCTTCTGCAAGCTTTAGTAATCATGCCAAACACCAGGACCTTACCGTAGAGTCTGGGATCCGCCAAAGATCAAAGACTGAGCAAGACCTGAGAAGCATCCACAAGATCCCAGAGGCAATGAATGTCTTGAGAGAAAGTGACTGTGAAATTAATGACAGAGGGGGTGATAAAGAGCTAGAAGCCTCTGCTGATATTCACATGCTTATGTACTCAGCTGCTCATGTGAAAGTTCGGCTGAATCACTACCAATACTTGGTGCTGCTCAGGATGAGGGAAGTTATGCAGACACTGCAGGAGCAGTTGGCCCAAGATACACAGGAGGTGATTGGCTCCCCCATAGAACCCCTGACTGCTTGCTTGGGTCTCCTGTTCAACAGTGCAGAAGTGGCCCTGCTCATGAATCCCATCCCAGGCTCTGGCTCAGATCCTAGGTCTGTGGACTCCGATACAACGAGCCTGATGATGGGGTCTGAGCTGTCTCCTTCAGACAGCAAGGAGGGGCTGGCTGCTGAAGAGAAGGAGTTGAAATCAGATGCTAGCTCAGAGAAGGAAATGGGCAGCCCCTCAAAAGTCCTGGAGGATAGTGAGAATGAAAACACAGACGTGAGCGTTACCAGTGAGCTGCTGGAGAAACTGCCAAAATCTTTGACTGATGAAACTCTGGAAGCAACCGATATGGCAGATCCACAGAGCAGGAGCGTGGAGGAGAAAGGACCAATAGAAGAAGCACATGAAGCTGTAGAAGCCCTGGATGCAGAGAGAGTGACTGAGCATAGCAGTCAGACCTCTCTTGCCCTTCCTTCCAGCTCATCTGAGGTTCAGGCAATGGGAAATGGAAGTATCATGCTCAATGGAGAAGTAGAACTAATGCCATTAAAGAGCTTGGAGGTGGAATTCTCGAGTGCACTTCATATGACAAAAGATGCCACTAAAGAAGCTCTGCATGCGACCATGGACCTCACCAAAGAAGCTATGTCGATGACTAAAGATGCTTTCAGCCTGAGTCGGGAAAGGATGGCTTCCACCATGCAGAAAATGCTCTCTCTACCGCCAACCAAGTGAGTGAGTCATCTCTCTGTCCCTGTGAAATGGCAGTAGCACATTGTGGGGACAGTGAGGCATTGTAAGGCTGACACACGCATGTCTGCAATTGCTCCTTTCTCCTCCATTCTGACTTTGAATCAGTCTGTGACTTCTGACACCTTACACTGAATGCTCTTTAAAATCATAGACTGCTTACCCTGAGGGAAGGGGGCCAAGGTATAGACTTTCTCTGTGTTGCTACTGGCTTGGATTAGAGATCCCACATGTCCCACGGTCTGTGGCACCTGTTGCTACTAAAACGTTGCCACATGGTGGGTAGAGGGCAACTTGCAGCTTGTCATGCAGTAGCATGAGGGAAATGTGTCCAGGCATCCATGGTCAAAATCGATGCTCTTGTAAGTGTCATGAGATTGTCAGCCAAGGAGAAGGCAGGATCCAGGTGGTTAGGGTCTCTGCAGAAACCTGCATGACATAAATTGTGCGGTGTTTTCAGAAATGCATCTTTCTTTCCAAGGAGCCTCGGGTCAGTCCCTTCTCTGTTCTAGATAGGTCCTTGTGCCATGCACATCGCTATAATATCTGAATGTCTTCTAGAAGGCATTAAGTGATGAGACTGATACCTGACATGGTTAGATCTCTCAGCCATCCCCTTCTACAAGCATAAGCTCACTTCGATTTTCTCCTCTCTCTTCTAATGCTGTTCTCCCTGTGCCATGTAAGAGTGGAGTGCAGGGTGGCAGTAAGAATGTCCAGTGGGGAATGTGATGGTGAAAGGGAGAGAGGACTCTTTCATTTCTCGTTTGTCCAAATTTGGCCCAGGCCAACAGGGACCCAGACATTATGACCGACTGACAACTGTTTAATTGCAGTAGGGATGTTGCTGGCTATTTCCCAGTGTACAGGAGTCTCTAGGTGATTTTCTGGCAATTACTTTTCAAAAGGCAAAACGGAACTGGTGGAGCTGAGCAGCTGGAATAGTTCAGGGAATTGGTAATGGGACACTGGAGCCCTTCATCTCTGGGTTGCTAGTTCAGTCCTTGTCCAGGTTAGTTACTGTTGTTATCTGACGGCTCTTGAGCGGCCTTTGTAAACTGAGTGGGTGGGTCTGAGCTCTGCTCCCAGAAATATGTGAAACAGGCTGTCTGTGATTGTTGTAGATTCTCTTCCGCTTAAGGAACAGATAAGATAAACAGCTGTTGGTCCTGCTTTGGGGCAGGTCATTGGACGAGGCAATATATTGAGGTCCCTTCCAGCCATCATATATTTATGATTCTAAGACAAACATTGCACAGAGCATACCAGGTTTAAAAGTAATGGGCCCCATATTAGGGGATAAAGCAGAAAGGTGAGAGCTTATCCCATGCGCCTGCTGTTTAAGTATCTATTTCAGCTCATACACTTACTAGAATAAAGATTTTAACCACATGACGTAAAGGTAACTAAACTCCCATAGCAGATGCTTGCTTAGTTATGTCAGGGGCTACCTGCACTTTGTAGGACCTTTAGCCTAGTCACCTCCTTTAAGTGAAGTTTAGCAAAGCTCTTTTTGTAGTTACACTGAATCATATAAATTGTGCCTGTGTTGCACTTTTTACATTTCCTCTTTTTAAGTAGGCCAAGTGATTACTGGTAAGAATGATTTGTATGCCCAGTGTGGTGGCCTTTTCGACATACTTCTCCTTTTGCATAGGGCATGTGAATGAGCTCATTTTCAATGATGATGTGTTGGAAAGAAGTTAGCTATAAAAAGGATTGTGTCAAGTCACATGCCAGATTCACTCCATGTGAATTACTGTAGCATCATGACAGACCAAGAATTAGTCATGTGGGCTTTCTTGCTGCTTGGCTATGGTTTGGTATGGTGCTAATCAGTAGGTAATTCAAGCTTCACTGGATCAATCCTCCAAACTTTTACTCGTAAATAAATCAATAGTCAACCAGCAGAACTGAGACTCTTGCTCTGTCATTGACTGCTGTCCTGGGCTGTGGATGAATAAAGTTTCAATCTCTCTGCTTTCCCCAGCAATCAGAGCTGGGCTCAGAGCACTATTTTGTTGAACAACAAATGTGTCCCTAGGGGTGAGTTCAGTGCTCTGAAGCTGAGCTGTTGGCATCTTCGGGTTTTTGGTAGGGATCCTGTGCCTAAAGCTGAAGAGGGGCCAGCAACTCCCGGGGGAAGCAGCAGCCGGATGCGTTTCTTCTCCATGAAGAGGACAGCATCCCAGCATTCTTTTGATGCCGCCTCCGTAGATGGGAGTGGCCCCGAGGACCGGATCTCTGTGGACAGTGACGGCAGTGATGGGGGCTTTGTGATGCTCGCAGACTCTGGTAAGTAGAATTGCACATACTTTTTCCTCTCTTTCATTATTTCACACAGCTAAATTCATCTCCAGTGTGGCCAGTGAAGCATGGTGTGCCAAGGGTCCCTTTTGTGCCTGTCCAGAATAGGATTTATCAGTTACTCATTCCCAAAGTCCCAAGCAATTCACCCAATACAGATCTCTGTGATACTTTTCTCTGAGATGTCTTCCCTATGAAATCAGGTGTAGGGAAGTATCGTGTGATGAATTGGCCCAATATGTGTTTGATATCAGTCACGGGTGCCTTTGAAATATGGAGGTAGAGCCAGAGAAGGATTGAAACATGAACTGGCACTTCAGAGACTTGAGTCCTATCCCCAGATCTGCCACAGTCTCATTGCTGGTCTGGTCACTTCACTTGTTTTCTCATCTGGGTGGGAGGATGTTCATAAAGTGCTTGGAGAACCTGCTATGGAAGGTGTGACAGAAGGGCAGAATGGGGCTGAGCCTTGCAACGAACGTGTCGCTTCAATTCTAGCTTGTTTAATCTATGTGGTCCAAGCTACTCGTGATGGGTTTCAGGAGGTTGGCAAGAGCCTTTGGGCCATGATATTGAGGCAGATGCTGAAATCGGGACCGTCTGTGACGGATACATAACATCTCTTTCAGAACCCAGCCTGGATCATTTTCCCACAGGACACCTTCCTCGTGGCCTTAACGATGCAGGCAGCAGAGGAAGCCCAGTGGCAGAGGATGAGGGTGGAGGGTCACCTGACATAAACAGCTCATCTTTTCAGAGCGGAGAAGACCCCAGTCTTCAGCTGGTCAGATTTTTATTCTCTCTCCTTGTAATCTGTTTCCAAAGGAATTTTGCAAAGCGAGGCCAGTCTATGCCAAGTGGTCCCTTGCTGTGCCGTTTCAGGTGTCTGTTCTGGTGCTAAAAATGAATGAGGTGAACTGCGGGATAGAAGTGAGAGGAGATGATATGTCGCTTGCTGTACAAGCTACGGAGGTTATTCCAGAGCAGCTGGGAAATATTGGAATGTGGCAGTATCTTCATAGCTACATGGGTAAGACACTCACCTTTTTTGGATCGGTTGGCTTTGAAAGACCCAAAGCCAAATCTATGGAGTTTTAACTGCCGTTTGCACTCTTCACGTATAGCAGCAATGGACACACAGTGGACTGCACTATATGAATATGGATAAGTCTGTACTTCACTTAACTGGATGACACAATATTGGCCCCAATATTTTGCCTGTTGTTTGCATTGTAACGAACTTCAGTACTTTGTGTGTAAGCCACCTAAGTGCATAGGAAATCTGCAGCCTCACTGTCTGTTCTGTGACATATAGTTAAATAGAGTATTGTACAATTGATGGGTGCAACGGTGACAAGCAGCCATGACTTGAAAGACTTCTAAAACAGCCCCAAACTTGACTATATCTTGAACATTTCAAGGCTGCTTTCTGCAGGTATAGAGTGCTCTGAGTACATAGGTTACAATCCTTAAGGAGGTGCAAAAAACTTAGTTGCTGCCATACATGAGGATTGCTGACACTGAAATACAAATTCTGTTGAGACCCTTTATATCAATGGTTCATAACCAGTGAACTCAAGTCGTTTCATTGACTTTTTGATATTTTCATACCAACTCCCTGTGGACAGGTGCCACATGACAGATTGATTCACTGCCGCCCATTAGGTTTGTTGTTTGCAAACAGAATCAAACAGTATTCTGTGTATATACATGATGATTTCAAAGGTTCAGTTTCACAAAGCTGATACCCAGTTTTGTGTTAGTTCTCAGATGGAGGAGAGAAATTAAGTGTGCATAGTTGGAAACTAAAAAAAAAAATGTACTGGATGAATATAAAAAGCTAGAATCAACAGTAAAAGGCCATATTAGTTTTTTTTAAAATAGTTTAGAGGGGAAATGAAAGCCACTATAATAAAATAAAAAAGACCCATATAGAACAAATGGAAGGAAGGGGAAGTTGGTACTAACAAAATATAAATCAAGACAGAAATTGTAGAAAACCCAGCAAGGAAAGCAATAAAAAAAAAATCTACAGCCAGAGAAGTAGTTGTTCAAGTATATTGGGAACAAAAGGAATCTTAAGAAAGATGTTTACCCAATACTAGATGCAAATGGTAGAGCTGACATGAATAAAAGAGCTGGCAGAAGTATTCCATAAACTAGTCTGTATTTGGGGGAAAAATCCTGATGATGTAGCTGTATCCTACGATGATGCCCACTGTGCATTTCAGCAGTTACTCGGGTGAATGTTAAAACTAGAGGCTTTTTAAAGTGAGCATGTTCGGATAACTTGCATTCTGGAGTTGTCTCCCACCCTGAAGCTTTGGAACGCTAGAGAAGTTCCAAAAGTATAAAATAAAATTCCTGCTCTGTAAGTATTTAAGAATGGTAGGCAGGAGGATATAGGTCATTATAGGCTTGTCAGCCTGATGATGATTCCAGGCAAAATAATGGAGCACCAGGACAAGGCATGATCAAGAAAGAAGCTAATAAATTGGAAGAGGTCTAGAAAATCGCGAAAACAATTAAAGGACTGGGAAATGTCTTACTCTGAGACTCGTGAAACTCCATTTGTGCCATGTTTGCAGTCTAGTAGCATCTATGTGGGGGATAGGAAGTTGCTAATAGAGGGGTCCTTAATCTATCATCCCAAGGTATAAATAAAGGTATAATCCAGTGGCTGCACATTGCAGCTAGGTAAATTCAGACTAGAAAGAGGGTGCATATTTCTTAGTGCAGGTAAGTGACTACTGGAAAAAATTACCAAGAGCTGTGGGCATTTCTTCATCACTGACAATTTTTAAATTGAGACTGGCTGCTTTTCTTAGAGATCCTGTGATTGAAGACTAATTCAGGGAAATCTTATGGCCTGTCATACCGGGACTCAGACTAGATGATCAAGTCTTTTCTGATTTATAATCTGTGAATTTAATACTAATTGAATGTGTAGTGACTATTTCTCCAAAGAAGCCAAGAAGTGTATGAGCTCTAGAGACTAAACTTCCCCTACATACTTAAAGTTGTGTGGTCCGTCTAGGTCAGAGTGACCTAGACTATCATTTCTCCGGACCAGGGGCTGTCTTTTATCTGTGCAATGTCTATTGCAGTAAGGGCATGATTTTTTATTTGGGTTCCTCCATGTTAGTATAATTTTTAATAGATTAAAGTGACGTAAAAAAGCTTGCACTGTACCTGCTGTAGATAAAAGAGGAGTATCAAGACTTTAGCACTCTTAATTTGGGATGTTTCACCCGTTTTTAAACAAACTCAAATTTAAATCTTCCAAAGACGAGTGAGTAGTACTGTTGCGCTGATACATTTTCATAGTGATAAACTTTTTAGCCACTAGGAGGCAAAACAAAATGATGAGACTTCACAGTGTACAGTTGATAATGCAGAACCCTGTTTGTGTACAAAAGGTTTCTTAGAAGAGTAATGTCAAAGACTTTTTCATTCTCGATACAATGTGGGATTAGATTTTTCCTTGGTACAACGTAAAGTTCTAGTTCTTGTCAAATAAACCAGATAAATCTAGACATCTGACTGGAAGTGAAACAACTGAAGGGGAGAGAAGAACTTGAGGGCTCGTGATGTGGAGTTTTGTCCACAGAAATTTGAACTCGTGCTCCTTTTATGTAGATGGCAGCGCGGAACAGTAGCCATGATTTTGGATCATCAGTGGTGTCATAGACTGGATTTTACCCAGTGTTCAAACAAAGAAAGGCTTCACAGCGTGTATGTATTTCTTATAGCTTTTTGCTAATGCCATCTTCCACACTAATGATATTTTTTTCATGCCCTTAGGAGAACTAAGCGTAGAGAAACCCTCAGCTACAGAAACTAGTCAGACTCAGCCAGAAGTGTGCATGCGTCTTGAAATGGGACCCAGTGCCGTTGTGCATTCGACCCTCGCTGTTCAGAACGGGTTCCTTCAAATGCTGATCCACAACTACCAGGCAGAGCTCTTGATGTCTTTCCTTACCAACCTCGGCCCTTTCCTTGAGGATGAAGTGATACCGGAGGTGATCCCCATGAAAATAGAGATTGTGAACACCAAGATCACGCTGAAGGTGTGTGTGTGTTTGGAGAGAGGGGTGTGTCACGAGCTGAGTTGTGTGCAAGGTGGTACCTGTGAAAGGGTTCATGTAGCAGTCCAGAAAGATGCCATTTCCGGGTCAACTATGCTAATCATTTTACTCTGCCCTCTAGGAGCTACTTAGTGATGTACAGGTGGGTCCTTGGGATCGTAGTCTAGTTAGTGCTTGGACCGTGAGAATTCTGAGGCCTGGGGGAAAAAAAGAGCTGGGTGGAAATCTTAGTTGCTCAGAAATGGAGGCAGAAAGGTGTCTGACAATGCACCTGTAACCAGGAGCATGTCTTGGGCCTGCTGTATTGATACATTCTGATGGGAGTTTGAGTCTGGGACTTGCAAAACTGTTACTGCAAGATGTGACCTGAAGTAAGGGGGGGTTGTGATGAGACTGATTGATTATGGGGCATCTTTAATGATGTGACTCTGTTTCACCCAAGCAGAGGGCTCTCTTTATACGCAACTAAAGTGCAGGTACAGCCCACCTGTAAAACCATTGTTTTCTGTGTAAGAGCCAACCCCAGATAGATCTGGGAATGCTGACAGCAGTAATGTTCTTTGCTGTGTTGCCCAGTTCCAGAGTCGCATGCAGCAGCTGATATTTTGTTGGGTCTTCTTGCAGGATGACAGCCCTCCAATATACCCTACCTCCCCTGGTCCTATCCCCATCACCTTGGCTGTGGATCACGTTGTTGTGACGCGCAAAGATGACGGGGTGTTCTGCGTAACAGGTCAGTAAAGTAGGGCAGTCCTGGTCCCTTTTGCCCCAGCAGCTGTTACTGAGGAATAGAGTGCCCAGCAGTGACTCCTACTGGAAGATGCTGGACTGGATACACAACTGCTGGGAAAGGTGAGATCTGGGGTATCTGATCTATCCCAGATATTCTTGCCAGACCAGGCTAAAACTGTTTCCTATATAAACACTTCGGTTCTCTTGCCAGTGCTCCAAGTTGCGACTCCCGTCCAGTCTTGCTGGAGATGATAAATTTGGCACTCCAAGTAGCATTGATAATGGTTACAATGAGTGACTGGCAGTCTAAACTCACTGCCACTGGTTCATGCATACTGGACAAGTTGTCAGTTCCCCTTTTTAAAAGGGATGATCCTTTCATCTGCAGAGCACTTCTCATAAAAGAGAATCCAAGTGGTCTATGGTAGCAGTGCACACATTTATATATTATCCCTGTATTGCTTCCTAGCTGTTGAGGGTGAAGGACCATATTTGCGGAAAAGGCCTGAGCCAGACCTTCAGGAGCACAAGGTCTCAGCACTGAGAGTCCCAGCAGCTCCTGCAGGAGCAGTGCATGAAGTGCAGGTAAGCCATTTCTGCATGGTCCTTTGCAGACTGATAGAAATCTGGCTGCAGACTGGGAAACACTGGTCCTCTTACCTGGAGGGTTTACAGATGGGTAACAATAGTGCCCTCTTGTGAGCAGGCTGGGTTCAGGACCCTTGCCTCCTTCCACACCCATCCCCTTAGCATAATCAGTTCCTCCTTTTCAGTATCCGAAACATTTGTTTTCTTCTGAGGAGAAATTATCTTCTATCTTCCCACGTCTGTCCAGTCCCTGCTCTGGAAGGTCTTTTTTCATATGGGGGTGCTATAGAAAAAAGGCCTTAGGCCTCAATCAGAGAACTCGTTCTTTGGTAACCTAAGTTCTGAATGAAACAAGGGCCTCAAGGGAAGACCCACTGCTGAAGATGCTGTGGATACTGTAAACCTTGCTACAGGCTGTGAAGCTGCTCTGATGGCTGTGTACACAGCAAGAATAACAACCAGTTTCAGTCCCGGAGATGAGACCAGGGGGGAGGCCCCTTCTGCCCTTTCTCATAGACCTTACCAGTAGTAGGGCTTTTAGGTGGGCAGGGAAGGTGCACATTGTCAGGGTGCAGCATAGGGCCCATTGTTTGTCCTTCTGTTCTCCCCACCTTTTCTTGCCTCTGTATTCATCGTCAGCTGAAGCCAGAGTCACTCTGCAGGAAGAACCTCTCTTACACAGGTCTTGTTCACATTTGGGGGAGGCTGAGGGCCGGCCATTAGGCCATCTGTGTGGCGGCTCTGTATGCTGACTGTAATAATGGGTCTGAAAGGCATTCCAGCAAACAGGCTGAAATGCATCTGTCAGCAAGTATTCAAGCCTGGAAACTCAGTAGAATGAGGATGTCAGTCAGTGGCTTTTGTTTGCTCTGTGACATGTACCTTTAGTTCCTTCCAGAGCTGCTGGTTTTGCATTCCTCTCTGATCATAATGGAAAGAAATGACCTCATTCTGCTCTCATTTTTCACATTTTGGAAGAAGCTTGGGTCTTATTTTTGTTCCTTTCCCTGTCTCTTGCAGCTGAAGGAAGTGCCGGAGTTGCAGAAGGAGCTGGAGGGCATGAAAATGGCCCTAGAAGCCGCCAGCAAGGACAAAGAACGCCTTCTGCAGGAAATCCGCAAACACGACCCCCTCTTCCAGCTCTGACAGCAGAGGCCTGCCCTGCCCACCACTGCTCAGGAGGAGCAGGGATCACCACCAGCACTGAGGTGGCTAGTTTGTGACATGGCTGCTAAACAGGTCAACCTCTGTACAGAGGAATCACTTGGGGGAATGGGAACCCAAATGCTGCTGTAAGAGGAACTCCGAAGTGTGTGATGAGAGGAAAGCAGGCCCGGCTTGGGGAAGGGGGATGAGCAAGGGGAGCTCCCTGGTTCTGGTCTGGCAGCCACGTTCCTCTGTCCTGGCAGTGTGGTGCTACCCTCTATCACTGACCCAGTGCAGAGCTCAGTCAAGGAGCCCAAAATGCCAGAACAGTAGTCAGGAGCCAGGGTCTCCTTGTCTTGTCAGTTGACAACAGAGATGACTGCCTACTTTCACCCGCTGACTGTCTGTTTCCTCTCTCGTGTTTGCTCCTCATGCTGGGTGGTGCCGCTTGGTTCTTCATCTAGCACTGTCCTGTGTGTTTTTGTCCAGATGCACTCACCAAAGAGCACAGGTGAAAGCAATAAGGTCAATTTGTCAAGGCCAGGCCTAGTCAGACATTTCAGTGGATGTTGCACAGAGTTCTTTGGTGAGAGCATGATGTAGCCGAAGACTGGAATGAAACTGTAGGGCTTGCTGTGTGTGGGAGATAGAGAAATCTCTCCTCTAGGGAGAGGAAATGTGGCCTGGAGCTTCCCCTGAGCAACCCAGGGAGCCATGGTAGAAAGGATTCCCTCTAGTTCCCTTTTCCACTAAACATTTGCTGCCTTGGGATTGAACCAGTGTATATGCTAGTTTAAAAACCATCTACCCTTTCTGAAGCCCACTTCCCACACAGTATCCAGACACCCTAGCTATTGCCTGTACCCCAGTGCAAGACTGCCATGTTCCCTCACTTGTTAGGTAACACATGCTGGGCAAGTTCAGCTTTATCTCCTGTGCTGAAGCCTGTGGGAATCCAGCATCTCCTCTCAAAGAATGATTTAATCTTTGAAGCAAGGAATCAGGGTGAAGGGAGTGTTTTGTAGGTCATGGTTGAGGAAAGGAGGCTAGCTTATGAACTGCACTTATCTATCAGAGGTGCACAGACTGCAGCAACAGAAGCCTAGAGAGCAACAGTAACTTCTTAGCTTTCCAACCTGAAGCATGAGCTGAACCGACAGTTGAATGTTCAGCCAGGCCGCTTATGTGTTTCATCAGGACACTGAGCACTGGGACCTTTTCTGAGAGGGTTCTGGTTGCCTCTTCACTGTGCTATCCCTGTGATGGGATCAAGGCAGCAACTGTGGTGTTCACTCTGGTAAAATGCCAGCTAAATGCTACCCCTTCTCCAACATACTGTCCTGAAGCAGTTGAAGTCTTTGAAGTTAGTCTGTGCCTGTTTTCATGTCAAAAGACAGCTTCCCCAGGTATGAAGCCTGGTAAAATGTGAAGTAGGCATCGGTAGAAAACTACTGGAGAAAATGCTCTTTGTGATATCCCAAGCATAAATTGTTCTCCCGAGGGCTAAATGGTATGGTTTCTTCTCTCCTAGCCAAGCTAATGCATAGTCTAGGCATCCAGTGAAGAAGCCACTGTGTGTGTGACTGCCTACTCTAGGGGGCATGATGGAATCCTGCAGCAGAAGAGGTGGAGAGGGGGCATGAGGGAAAGTGGCCCCCAACCGTAGATGCTGTTGTATGGTGGGACTAAGTTGTATAGTTTAGCATGAAACGTGGTACAGGTTTGTCAGTTCTGTGCTGCTGAGGACTGTCCACCCACAGCACCTTCTTGCATGTGGATGTTTTCTTGGATTTTAATGCATTTCAAACACTTTTCTGAGTTTGGATTTTCCAGCCATATTTTATAGGTGTATTCATGCACCAGTTTTAATGCACACAACACTTTATAATGCATGTTAAACAAGTAGAAGAGTGCACCTAATTGGCTTGGGGAAAACTTAACTACAAAGATAACTGACTGCATAGGTGATGGTGACCTTCCTTTCTTAACTGTGGGAAGGCCAGGTCATATGAGAATGGAAGCTTTGTCTAACCATATTCTAGTTCTCCACTTCATGATCCCCAACACTTTTTCACCCTGAAAAGCAGATTAGCATTCTGGTGGCATTTTGTCTGTCATAAAGGTTCTGTTGTGTTTTTAACCCCACTAAAATTAAGCTAGATAAACTCTTATAAGGTCAGGATTACACTCGGTCCAAGTAATGAGTTGTGACTCCTACTCAGAAGCCATGATGGCTTGATAGCTGGGGACTGAACAAAAGGAAGAAGGCGATTTGTGCTGTTGCTTTTCCCCATTAGTCTTGCATATAGATCTCTTTGTCCAGCGGTGGAGATATGTACTTCTCTTTCCTGGGGACTGTAGTGTGGCTTTAGCTGCAGGGAAGAAAACTGCATGCTTTAATGTGCTGGTTTAATGGTAGAGACTGGGGGAGGGTGTGTTGAACAAAGGCTCACAAAGAGCCTTGTAGCTCTTAGCAAAATGCTCTGTGCATGAGAAAAGGGAGGAAGACAGCCAGATTAGAACCCAGTGAAAATGGCTAGCATTCTTATCTCTGTTAGTCTGAAGGTAGGGTTGACCAGTGTCATAGTTGGTCCTTGCCTGCTACACTGGAATAGACAGCCTCAGGACAAAGAGAGCGGAGCTCTGCTGCTCCACTTATCTTTGCCATCTGCCTGCCAAGATGGGACTGACTAGTGCCTGAATGCAGCAAGAGCTTGACTTTCACTACATGAATAGGTAATGTGTTGGGAATGATTTTCCTTTGGCAATGACTGGGCAGCTGAAGCCTAAAAGGTTCTGCAGTGGTGAGGTAATAAGGTCACTTTTGACATCCCATCTGACTACTGCACTGTTGGTTGGATGCTGTACCTGAGAGTCATTCACTGCGCTACCTTGGATGCGGGGCAGAACCTATGAAAATGGATACTTCCTCTGGAGAATTGTGCCTCATCCCATCCCCTCAGTGCAGGCCCTGACAGGTTCTTTGTGCATTACTGCCCATGTTAAAAACTCCAGCAGCCCTTCCCTCCTATAGGAAGGGGAATCTGTGATTAGGAGGACAATGCACTTTAAACTTCTAGCACCAGTGTGGGGGACAGACCAGCTGGGTACTTCCTGCACCACTATTGCCTCATGTGCATAGCATAATGTTTCAAAAATAAAGGCAGGGATTTAGAAATGCGTGTTACCTCCTGTGGTAAGGATAGGGCTGGCACCAAACCCACACGTTCTTACTGTAGAACAGGAGGTAACCATGAACCTGCGTTAAAACAACCTGCTGTGAAACCTATGTACAAACAGCTCATTGTAAGTATAAAACTTGTATGTGAACTGTGTCAAGTCTGAGCTTTTTAATTCCTCTGTAACATTGCTGCTCAGTTCTATGTAACCAGAAGCTAGTGTTCTTTATTCAAGTATCTGTGATATTGAACTCATGCAT